GAGACTGCAAACCAAAAACTCTCAGAGTCTCCTGCAACATAGTCCAGATGTATCTACCCCACAGTTATATTAGATAACATATCGATATATTAGATATACTATGAATTACTATGATATACTAGAGTTTTATAGATGGACCTAACCCATCCTAACCCCAGCCGCTTTCGTCCCAGGGCCCTCCGGCAAGGGTAAGGCCGGCACCGCCAAGGCTGGCACCAAAACTAGACAAACATGGAGGTTGATAGTTGGTTTATAGTAGGTCAGTGTTTTTTAAACGTTTTTTTTAATACGAGTTTAGCCCCCGGGGGGTTGAACAGATAGTGTATGATTTAGAGTTGGATGGGTCAGATTCGTTTTTGATTATACATCAACTTTTTGCATATTGCGTAACCATCTTCTGGCTTGACATGTAAAAGTTGTGTTTGCACAATCCGATTGAGTGCCATCTCAGCTTATGAACGGATGACATTTCTGCGCATGGATCATGGATAATGACAATGCTGGTGGTCACCCATTCTTTTTTTTGTTTTTGCAGCGGGTTGGTGGTGTGAAAACACGGCACCCTTGACATGTAGCATTTGGCATAGAAGCCTGCAAGGTTATCATCTAACAATAGGAAAGATGATTTGTCCAAGCGAGTTTGTAGGCTTCGAAGTTTGCTAACGTGCTAAAACCCAGCAAGAATTTCTTGTTTTGGAGATGGTATGAAATGCTTTATTTTTGGTTTTACCCTCTGGTAATTTAACATAGCTATGGAAAATCACCATTTTTAATGGGACAATCCACTATAAATGGCCATTTTCAATAGCTATGTTAGTTTACCAGAGGGTACCACATTGAGGTTTTTGCTCAACGTTGCCAGGGACCGGCTCTGGCTCCGCCCAAAGGGAAAGGCAGGGGCCGCCATCGTCCCGATCTCCTGGGTTTCTTGAGATCTCGTGGAAAACAAGACAAAACAAGATAATATGAATGGTCAATATTCAATTGTGATGAAAAAACTATAAATATGATATAATATAATGCAACATAATATGATATAATATAATATAATTTAATTTAATTTAATTAAACATCAATTGGATATTATGATATTCATCTATCCGTCGTATGTTACGTAACACATTCCATATGACATTTGACAACGTTCTGTGGCCTTGGAATTAGTCGGCCTGGTGGCCATGAGGATGATGACAGGTCCGCGGGTGGCTCAACGCGAGGTTCACATCTCATCATCAGATGATGGAAGAAAAGACAGGGACCCTCTATATAATCTATGTATATATATATATGTGTGTGTGTGTGCGTATGTATATCTTAAAATATATGTTGTGGGAAAGAGATTGAAAGTAACAACCAATTTTTGCTGCAGATGTTCCTTTAAATCCTCCCATAGATTCCAGAAGGTATGACCTAAACATGGAACCAATCCGTCCACCCTCTTGTCGCGGGCCCCACAAAATTCATAGGTCCAATGCAAAATTCGACAGAAAGGATAAGTACTTAACTGGGCTCTGAATCACTCCTCAATTCGTTGAAATGCGATTCATCGTTGCCCCTGTAACTCAAAAAAAAACATGGTAAGTCTACCCCACCAGATCTTTTGGTTGTATCAGCATTTTGTAGATGAAATCTCATCGTGTTTGCCCCTGAATCCCTGGTCCCACCTGCAGGGAAAGGCGCCCCAGCGGCAAAGGCCAAAGGTGAGGGGAAGAAGGTGGGCCCTGGGTGTGGGGAATCATTGGCAGGAAAAGGTCCTATGTTTTGGAGGAAAAAAAACATTAAAACATGATATCACATCATATTAGATTCACTTGGAAGTCGGATAGATATTTGATGAACAGAGAAGTCTCTGGGTTATCAAATGATCAACGGGGCATTGCTTGGAAGTTGGAGGATCCCGGATCGGTCGTTTCCAAAAGCCGCGGGAGGGTACAGCAAGGCAAAATGTGGTTCGACCAATATCTACCCTCTGGTAATTTAACATATGGAAAATCACCATTATTAATGGGTAAATCAACTATAAATATTATAAATGGGTCATTTTCAATAGCTATTTTGACATAACCAGAGGGTAAATCTGCTGATCATCACATGGACGTTTCTGGTGCCCACATGTCTAGTTGAATGGGAGCACAATGTTCAGCTAGAAGACGAATTCTTGAGGAAATTTCGCCACCAATAGATGCGCTGAAACTTCGAGGGATTTAGGCCACCAATAGTGGGGAGTTTTGCTGAGAAGAATGCGGTGTATGGTGTAACAGTATAAGCACTATTAATCACTATGAAACACTATCAACCTCTATTTATTTGGTTTGTCATATCAACCACAACAGTACCCAACCAAAACAGGTGTTCTTCATCTAATCATGCGATGACCTTTACCAGCATTTGGGATGACCGACCTGGACGTTTGCACCCGAAAAAAGTGTGCAACCAGATCTTTGTTTGCCTCCCTTCTGAGCAGAAAAAAACATAGACTTCCGAAACTTCAGAAACTATCAGAAACTATAAGCATAATAAAATAAATCAAAATAATTCATAGATTCAAAACTTTAGAAACTATCAGAAACTTCAGAAACATCTAACAGATCTGACAACTGGAAAGCAATGATTGAATCGCTACGTTCTTGGTTCAATGTTCACCGATCTCCCCGGAGATTGCATCGCTGAACTGAGGCGGGGAAGAGCCGGCCAGCCGGAGACGGAAAAGGACAGCCTGATGACGGAAATCGCCCATAAACTCACCCGAAAGCCATAGAGTGATCATGAATGAACATCATTGATATTTGAAACCCATGGTTGATAACATTTGATAACTAATAGAGAGAGGAAACAATGATCATTTGATGGTTAATGATTGTTTGGATGTTGGGTGACTATCCCAATTGTTTGCTCCAGGAAATAGAGGAAGTCAAGTGAGGTTTTTTCTCCTAGAGAATAAGGCTTACTTGAGTTCCCCCCTGCGAATGGCAATGGGGATGGAGGAATCAAAAGGATAGAACAGTACAGAAAGTAATTTGCCAATACTGCAATAAAAATCACCACTTTAGGATTTTACCGTTCTATCTTTTTGGGGCTTGCTAAAATTATGATGTTTCTTGATTATATTGATTCACATTTCGAGAATTCGATGATTGCGATAATTTAGTGGCAAAAAACAAAGGTCTCCTGTAGATTTCCATTAAATCCATCATCATAGCTATGCTTCGTGTGGCTGTGTCTGAAAAACTGGTCACGCCGCCGAAGTATGTTTCATCCATGGGCTAGGGGTATATCCTACGTTCAGACAAACCCATATTGAATCATATGCTGAGATGTTGATTTTCTAGATTTGTCCCGTGGAAAATCCACCAAAAATATCGGAAATCCATGAGGCATATTTCATGTAGAAATATAGTCCCTCAATCATTGATTCATATGCGTTCAGAGGAGAAAAAACAACACATTTAGGGCTAGTTGATCCATGGCTTCTCTAATCATAGACAACAACAAATGGGATGATTCACCAATCAAAAACATTCATATATTGTATTGCAGTTATTGAATTATTGATTAATAAATTCACTAATCATTGAATGGCCAGCTGTAAAAGCCATGGGAAAAACTCCACTCCCATCCTCAGGAGCTGAAGCCAAGGCCGTTTCGGCCGCGCCCTTCGGCCGACGCATGCACTGGGCTCCTCGGCGGCACCAAATGGGCGGAAGCCAAGGGGTGCCATGGTAAACCTTGGTGGATTTGGATGGATTTGGTGGGTTTTTATGAGTTTATGATGCAAAACTCTAGGGTTTCAGAAGAAAGATCGATGAAAAAGTCATGTGACAAAAGCATGTTTGAGCGATTGGTGATTTCTAATCTGTTGTTATGTTCACCCTAGGGTGATGATCCGTGATCTCAAAATATATCACGTTTTGCCCACCAGGAAGAAACACAGCAGGGGGACATCGCGCCGAGGTACATCCCAGATATCAGGATCCGGATCACGTCACTTGGAGAGAATCGCATGGGGCCCACGGGGTCAGAACCGGGGTGGTTCTAGGCTTCAAAGCTGGTAATGACCGATACGAAATATGAATTATCTGGTGATTTCCATGGCAAAGTATGAGTATTTCACAGTATTTATCATCAAAATATATGTTGATATCTTATTAAAAATCCAAGGCTGATTGGTGGAACATGTTTTTCCCATATATATTGGGAATTCCATCATCCCAACTGATGAAATCATATTTTTCAGAGTGGTAGGTATACCACTAACCAGGTAGATCCTGGGAAAGTCACCATTTTATAGCTGGGTAAATCCACTATTTCTATGACCATTTTCAATAGCAAACTGTTAGTTTACCAGATGGTAAATCCCATTAATATCCCATTAAATCACCATTAAATCCCATTAAATCACCATTAAATCCCATTAAATCACCATTAAATCCATTCAACCACCATTAAATCCCATTAAATCACCATTAAATCCATTCAACCACCATTAAATCCCATTAAACCACCATTAAATCCCATTCAACCACCATTAAATCCCATTAAACCACCATTAAATCCCATTAAACCACCATTAAATCCCATTAAACCACCATTTCTTCCCATTAAACCACCATTAAATCCCATTTTCCCACAATTTCTTCCCATTTTCCACCATTAAATCCCATTAAACCACCATTAAATCCCATTAAATCACCATTAAATCCCATTAAACCACCATTAAATCCCATTAAACCACCATTAAATCCCATTAAACCACCATTAAATCCCATTAAACCACCATTTCTTCCCATTAAACCACCATTAAATCCCATTTTCCCACAATTTCTTCCCATTTTCCACCATTAAATCCCATTAAACCACCATTAAATCCCATTAAATCACCATTAAATCCCATTAAATCACCATTAAATCCCATTAAATCACCATAAATCCCATTAAACCACTATAAATCCCAAGTTATTTTCATCTTTTCATCTACATTTTGAAGCAGAAGATTCGCCCAGGACACCATCTTCGGAGACCTGGGCCCCGTGGGCGGCGTCGACTTCGACACACTGGCGTCACTGCTGCGCGGTGCGACATGTTTCGGGACGGTTTTTACGACATTTTTCCAAGGAAAATCGAGGGAAATCCAGTGAAAAATCTGGATGTTTGGTGATTTGTTGATTAAAATGGCTGGTTAGTGATGTTTTTTTTAATTGGAAGACCTTGGGAGTTACACTCGTGTTTTTTTCTCACACAATGCATTGAAATGTGTGGAGTTGTTTGAAGAATGTTCACTGAAGATCAACGGAAAATTCCGTGAGCATTTAAAGGTCCTTTTTGGAAATGTAAGCTGAAGATCCATTTAAGCGTCCAGTTGAACATTGCTAAAACATTCTGACCCCGTCTCCCAAGATATGGATACAAGATGATCCAGCAAAATATCCCATGAAAAATCACCATTAAATGGGGTTTAATTATGGCAAAGCAACGGAATCAGGAAAATTTCCCAAGCCAGGATTTCCCACAATGGGGTTCAACCACAATTTTCTGCGTTCTATACTTTGACTGGCTAACTTGTCAGAAGTCAGGCCATTAAAAATAGTTTACTCCTCCCATTTTTCCGAGAGGACACTGATGAGCCAAACTATAGCCCCCGTAAAACACGATAGGAATTATGGAGGTCATAAACCAACAGACATAGCTGGGGGATCCTCACCTTGTAGTAAGCAGGGGTACATCACCTTTGTAAACACCATGACGATCCATGAAGTGATGGACATATTGCCTTTGAAAGGAGAGGGGCCTGGAAGCGATACCATAAATCAATATAAATCATCCATAATCAATAGTGAGGTAAATCCAATAGTATCCAATAGTAAACCATTTCCAAATGGGTGTGTTGTTCTTGGGCATAGCCCCACATGTACAAGTCGCGATGATTCGTCGCTTCGTCGCCAGGTGGCGATGGAGCGACGAAGACGAAGAAAACGCCACTGAAGAAGAACGAAGGTATCAAGGTGCCATGGGCGATGTAGCAATTCAGTGCTTCAAGTCCTTTGTTGGTGTGTAAAATCACCAAAAAAAACGTGATAAATATATAATTATATAATATATATATATATGTGTGTATAGTGATATCTATGTTTAACTCATGAAATCAAGTACTAATTCAGGGATTGAGTTGAATATAGTTGAGTCATGACTGGTATCACACTAAAGTGATTGCTGTGGATGGACGATCCATCCTGCACCAGTTGGGATGCCTAATGGAAACTATGAAACACTGTAATGGGATGATAATGGGATAAACTATCTACCAACTGTTGCAGGGCTTCTGCCATTCACAGTATGGCTGGGCTGGCTGGGTTTTTTGGGTGATTCAGCAACAAAAATTCTGCAGGCTTCACCTGCAAAAATATAGCAAACCTGAATTGGAACCCGGCAATGTGAGATGAAGACAACAATGATTGCAGGCAAAGATGGGGATTGTTTATTGGTGATATAAGTGATATAACTTATAACCAAAGAGACAAGGATTTAACGGGTAACCCTGGGCGAAGTGTGGAGTCGTTATCCAATAGAGTGATGGCGATATGCCAAGGTTTCAGTGGGATTCCGCACAACTCCCCGGGATGCGGGATGCAGTGGCTGGCATGATTTCCCCACAATGCCATCCCTCCAGTTTTGTCAGACAAAACCATGTCTCATATTCTTGTTTAGTGGTGTTTCCTTACCATAAAAACTCCACGAGATAGCCCATGAAACATACGTGCAGACGTAAACAAACAATTTTCAAAGGATAGAAAAGATGGAGCCCTGGAAAATTATGGAAACATCGAAGTAACATCCCCCATTCGGCGTTTGTTGGGTGGTTTTCTACCCCATCCTTTGCGACTTCAGATCGACGTTTCCAGGTCCTAGATGCATCCCGTGCGCAGAACATGGCCATCGTGCTCAGTCACTGGAGACAGCAATGGGGCGAGGTTGCTAAATTATTGCAGAGTAAAAAAGTAACCGCATGTAACCACCAAAAAGATAGAGAAGTAAATTATCACTATTTTAGTGGGATGTGATTTTTCTATATTTTTCTGTCTTGTGGGGGATTACTATAACATGTTGCTTGATTATTCTGCTGTTATACACCATCAATCATTTATGTTTTACAAGCAAAGAATGACCAGTGTTTTTCTTGACTGGCCTTTGTGAACTTTAAAGAAATATACTTACAAATCGAAAGTTTGATGGTTCTTATTCCTCCAGGGTTTATTGGGAAGAGTGGTTTCGTGTTGCTTGTTTTACCTATTTTTGTATATGTTTGTGCAAGTTCCCTCGGTTTGCGTTGACTTCCATTTTGTTTAATTTCAAGCATATCAGTGGCACCTCTAGCATTTTTTGATTCGTTATGCTGTTAGCAACCAGGAGCAATTCAAGGCATTCAAGCGCCACAACTAGTAATATCAAGATCTATCAAGAAACTATTGAGGATTGCTTAGTTGTTTGATTCCGAAATCGGATTGCTTTAAGGGAAAACCTCACGGGAAAAGCTGACGGAAAATCAATCCACCGAATACGTAAGGAGGATCATCCCACTTGGTAGTTTTCATAACCAAAATTTAGTTCATCCATGTATAGATGGGATAGGTTACTAGTTGCACCATATTAGAATTCCACAAGCATACCATGAATATTCCATTGATATTCCATGAGTATCAATAATATGATACCACAATTTTTGTTGTGGGGAACGTTTTTGATCAAAACAGGGAAACCCCACCTGCCAGAGAGACCGGACGGAGCAAAAGGTTTTGTTTTTTTTAGAACGGTAGCGTATCGAAATTTATGATAGAAGGTTAAATGCATAATAATCTTTTACAGAGTTTTCTAACCCTATATATATATAACCCTATATAACCCTATATAACCCTATATACCAGACATATGTAATTCTTATGTGTTAGACGTGACATTTGCATCCACCGAGGCAAATTGCCCATCTCCTCCCAAGAGCTTTGCGATGCCCTGCTGCACCTGGACTTCTCTGCCATGGCGGTCTCAGAGGCAAACTGGTGGAGATGCAGGGCTGGAAAGACCGCAAAAGGTCGGAGGTGTCTGCTGTTTGTTCTAGGTCCATTTTGAGGCTTCTGAAAGTTGTTCTCCAGTTGTTTTTGGGGTCAACGCCCCGAGGCGGGCGTGGTTTTTTCCACGTTTGTGCTCTTTGGCAGTATACGTGTTTAACGCTCTTGCCGACTGTAAGATGACGCTACGGAAGACACTTTGCCCAACTTTGTTGCTGACGTCTTGCTACCTTGACCGCGAGGGGGGGTGGGGGGGGGGGGGGGGATGATAACGTTCCTTTCGACTGTAAGATGACGCTACCGAAGACACGTTGCCCAACTTTGTTGCTGACGTCTTGCTACCTTGACCGGGAGGGGGGGTGGGGGGGTGGGGTGGGGATGATAACGTTCCTTTCGACTGTAAGATGACGCTACCGAAGACACGTTGCCCAACTTTGTTGCTGACGTCTTGCTACCTTGACGGGGAGGGGGGGTTGGGGGGGTGGGGGGGGGATGATAACGTTCGTTTCGACTGAAAGAGCACTGAGGAAAAAAAGAATGCATTCAACCTCAAGCAGATGTTGCGGAATTGCAAAAGTTTTTTTTTGGCATTTTGACATCTTGCAGCAAACGTCAAAACATCATAGATCACAAGCACAAAATACTGTAAATTACAGTGTAAAAAGGTGATTTTTGATTCAATCACCAAGTACACAATTGTAGAAAACCCACACCCGCCTCAAGGCGGTGTTCCCTTGTTTTTCGGTGAGAAGTTGATGAATATTGGATCTTGGCGAAGCTTTAACCACCAATGCCGTAAATCTCTCTGGTTCTTCCACGGTTTGTGATCTGGAAGCTCACCATTTTTAATAGATAGATCATCATAAATGGACCATTTTCCATAGCTAAAACTCAAATAACAATAGGGTAAAACATGTTTTTCTGTTGGTGAAATACACATGTTGGTCACTTTAATCTCAGGTTCACTGATCTTCGTCCTTCACCCTTGCGGAATTTCTCCAGTCTGTCACGACTCACCGAACTGGACCAAGTCCCTGGTAACACCCTGCAGTTGTTTTATACCACACCTCCAAGGTGAGGCCCAAGTCAGAAGTTGGTGGGCATAATTCCCACGAATACTATAGTTACCCTCTGGTTATTTAACACAGCCATGGAAAATGATCATTTATAATAGGTAAACCATCTATAAATGGGCCATTTTCCATAGCTATGTTAGTTTACCAGAGGGTATACCCCCCATAAACCCAGATCATTGATGATGATTACTGTTGGTTATATCCCCCTAATGAACCCTAGAATTCACCAAAAAAAGATGTGTGTCAACTTAGCGATTTCGGGTCGTAAGAAGGTGCCTCACCTTGTCATTGGGGGGCACACCCGGAGGATATGGTGGAACTATTGACGGGCGTTCTGCCCACCAACGAGGCAGGGATAGGTCGGTGGATAATGCCCTTGGGGGTGATTGGTCTAGGATTGATTAATGGAAATTTGATGGCATTTAATGGGAAGTTGATGGCATTTAATGGGAAGTTGATGGGATTTGAGTTGATGGGATTTCATGAGAAGTTGATGAGTAAGGCGAACAGGGAAATTAGGAGGTAGCCTTGGGGACCTGTTGGTTTTATTTGTTGACAGTCCTTGATTTTTTTTTGTGAATTTGTTGGTGTTTAACGGGGTTGATGGGGTTGGTTCCTTAATTTTATTTCTGGCACTTGTGGTTCCCCAGGTTGGGGTCCTTCATATAATTCTATTTTTCAGGGGTCCAACCCCCCTGGCACCGCAAGGGGCTGTTCAATGGATATTGGAAACACATGGAAATACAATGGGATACATTTCATGTAGCTGATCTCAAGTGCCAGGAGTGTGACAAGTTGAAGATGTATCAAGATTCTCCTGAAGAACTTCGGGACATTGAGCCTTGGAGGTGTGTGTCTTGTTGCATGTGTTAAGGAATTTTTTGGGGCATCCCCAATGAGTTTGATGTTTTTTGGAAATGTGTTAAGTTGACTGGAAAAACTTGGTTAACTAGGGTTTATGGGTAACATAACTATAGCTGATGGGTTTACAAACCAACGATTTCTGAGTGGGATGATCAATTATTAACAGTCTCCTTCAAGCAAATTACGCCTTGAGATCCATCTGGGAACTTAATTACATATATGGGCAGAAGTTTCGACATGGGCCGAAGTTTCGAATACACTTCCTTCTGTTGGTTTCCTACATTATCGGGGTTTTGGCCGTCGGCGAAGGAGTTCAAAATCCTTAGGGGGCCTGCTCCAGGAAGTGTAGAAGTCAAGGAATACCCCTAAACATCCCGAAACAATCAGCACATCATGATTGTGACTTAGATCTCCATGTGTGTGTGGAGGCCAAAGCACACTTGTGTTGCTTCACGCCCCATCAACTAAGGAACAGAAGGTCCTTCAACCATTCAAAGGTATTCAAAGCCACCATTTCTCCTGATTAAATCATATCTTAAATCCATAAATCAGTCCTAAGATCTCAGGAACGTCTTCCCTAAACGCCTCAAATTTCCCAAGTTTAATCCCAAAAAAAACCAAGTTCTTCCCTCTCATCTTCATCATTCTTCATCCACATCCACCAAGGAGGAAATGTGCTAGGATATGCAGTCCCATTTTTCTAATAGGTGCTATTCCATTAATATAACTGGGGGTAAGTTGGGCCCGCACCCCCAACAGCAACCAAATCCGCAAAGGAACAGAAAGTCCTGAAATCCAATTAAGCTTCCTTGTCTCGTGATTTAATCATATTAAATCCACAAATCAGCTCTAACACCTCAGGAACTTCTTCCCTAAATGCCTTCAATCGTCGCATCTCCAACTAAGGAACAGAAACTCATTGAAATCCATTGAAATCCTTTAAAATCAACCATCAAGCCGAATACCTGAACACTCCGCAAATTAGATCAACTAAGGAACCAGAAAATCATAGGAAATCCAGTTAAATTAGCTCTAAAACCTCATGGATTTCTTCCATCTTCTTCCCTGCCTTCAATCATCTTCAATCCAAATCCACCAAGGAACAGAAGGTCCTCCCCTTCTGTTTTTTGCCCCGGAGCCATGCGCGTCTCCGGCTGTTGCGCCTGGCATCGAGCCACAGCGAGCTCTGCGCCCAGCTGCGGACGCGCTGTGAGAACCTGCGAGGTGCCGCACAGGAGGCGATGACCAGCACCTTGGACCACGGAAAATGTGGGATTTTCCCATGGAAAAATAAGGATTTCACCAGAGAAAATGTGGGTTTACATGGGAAAAATGCCGTAGCTGGCGAAAAACTGTGTTTTTCCCAAAAGCATCTTCGATGCTTGGGTTCTCGTTTAGTTGTTTAACCGCGTGGGGGAGCGACCTGGCTCGAACGGTGGTGTGCGGACGGCGGAAAATGTGGGATTTTCCCATGGAAAAATAAGGATTTCACCAGAGAAAATGTGGGTTTACATGGGAAAAATGCCGTAGCTGGCGAAAAACTGTGTTTTTCCCAAAAGCATCTTCGATGCTTGGGTTCTCGTTTAGTTGTTTAACCGCGTGGGGGAGCGACCTGGCTCGAACGGTGGTGTGCGGACGGCGTGGGTGCAAGGGAAAGGAAAGGAAAGGAAGGGAAAGGAAAGGAAGGGAAAGGAAGGGAA